TGCTGAGTGCAATATAATCGTGAACATTCTACGTATAAAAGCTCAAAGAAGACCTTTAAATATTTTAATACAAACATAATATCAGGTCGTCTCCCCATCTGTCCTTTACCCTTTCTATCGGCGCTAGCAATACTTTGCTGTTCTGACGTACTAATAAATGAAGACAATCTAAAAGGAAGATTTTTTAATACCACCTGAATTGATAATAAAATGACTGTCGATTGATAGGTGCCTTCATTCAACGATTTTGCAAGTTCAGAACTAAAGATTGGATTATTCCAAATATTTTTGAGAAGGGAAAAAAGTTCTTTTGCGATGTCTGATATTTTCTCCTCAGATTCTTTCCAAGTTCCATTATGAATAAGTTTTTCGGGTGGCATATTCTGGTAACTATGACGAATGAAATTTGATACGAATTCCTCACACATTTCTTCGACCTTTGATATAAGAGTGGGCTTCATCAGTCGAGCGGATTTCTATTAGAGCATCAATAAAATATTATAGTTGTATATGTTGTTAAAAAAAAATTAGCAAAGTGATTTTCATATATATTACTATTAACATACCATAAATGCCTTCTTTAGATTTTTCGGCAATTGTTCTACGAGTTTAGAGTCATCGCTAATAATTTGGCTTGCTAGAGGATCTTTTCAAGTCAATTTTTGAATAGATAGAGTATTCATAGCCGAATATAGATGCTGACCAAGGGGTGTGGTATCTTTTTTGAGTTTCTCCTCCAGCTCAGTTATATTTTTCTCAATTTGATCGGAGCTGAGAGAGCTCTCCTTGTTTGTTTTAATTGCTCCCATGTTATATAAGGTGCAAACTCCTTCAAAGACATTATCAAACTATTATAAAAAATATGCATTAAATTTTCAGAAATATAAAAATTTTCATCATTAAAATAATGTATATTATCAGTACATATGCAAAGTTAACATCTTTGTGTGATCATCACGCTGATAAAACTCTATGTGATACTATAAAGCAACATAATAACTTATGCCTTAAACACCCTCCTGACGAGGCAATAGATTTTTCTCATAGCAGGTTGGTAGAATGCTATATCCTGCATAACAGACTATAGTTTAAACATTCCTCCACTATGAGCAAGTGCCTATCGGCAAGCGGGCTAGTAGGATGAGTGAACATAAGCAACAACCAAAATAATTGGCTATTTATTCAGCACTCATCTTTATGAGTGGATCACATAATATCATCATTTAACACAGATAATTCTAAAATATAATACATCTAAATAACTAACCTGTGGGAGAATTCGCAGAATTCTTAATTGGCGTGGTGAAGTATCCATGTATACATTGCTAGCGGAAGCTACAGCTCGATCTATGATTGATCTTAATTCGTTTTGTGGAATCCAGCGGTCTTCTTTCATTCCAAGATAAATAACTGACGTAACATTTATTTGGCGTTCTTCGGCAGTTGTCAAAAACTCGTAAATGGTGTTATACAAATCGGCAGACATTGATTAGTCGAGTTCGAAGAAATAAAAGCTTTGTTATTTACTATAAAGTGACGAACAACCACAACGTAAATATACTGCCCTTTTAAATCATTTTCGTCCACCCATTTCTGGTCTTGTTCAGGTAAGAAAATAGTAGATTTAGGAAATGTGGAACTGAAGCGATACAATGCATAGCGAAAAAACTTTTCACAAAGAAAATGCGTATGCCACGAGTTAGCCAATCGGATTTGAATTTATATGGCATGACAAACGTAACAATCAGCAGGTTACATGATTAAATCATGCATGCAGATGTTCTATGACCTTCGATTTTATTCTGTGGTATATTAAGGCTAAAGCGGAGTACATCTCACGTGACATTGATCGTCAACTTAAAAATTAGGTTTTTTGAATTTGCAACCTTGTTACTCATAAAGACTACCATATACCTAATATTTTGCGTCGAGCATCTTTACTTTGAGGTCGAAGGACAGTTGTCATAGTAAAACTTCGAGTTATTTACGATTTTCGATTTGTTTTGAATTTTAGTGTTACACTTATTCTATATAGTTTCGGACGTAATGCTAATTCCAGTTAACTTTGCTCTATGTATTACACCTAAGGTTGCTTGCCGAAATCCCTTAGTGACTGTCTAAATTCTGTCGAAATTATAATAAATTATTAGTAAATAACCCGTCGAAATTCTGACGAATTTTGAAACCCGTCGTAACCGAAATTATGTCGAAATTCTAATTAACAATTAGTGTGTAACCCGTCGAAATTATGACGATATTTTTCTGAAAGGATTTAGGCAAGCATCCTTAATTACACCCCTTATAATATGTGTCTCCGACACTAGCTCCGCTATAGATGTAATGAAGATACGATGAAGGTGCGATGTAGGTGCGATGTAGCCACGATGAACTTTTTTTCATATATAATTGTATGGAAAATAACCACGATGCGACTACCTCTGGCAAGTTGAGTAACATTATCGCAGTGAATAATGTGAACTGACGATCAATTGCGCTTATTAATAGACAACCGAAATACCGAGTACCCAGAATAATATTGCGAATATAATTAATGAGAGATCTAGTACCAACTATACGGGATATCAGCAGAGCTGGCACGGTAAATTTCAAAATCTTGTAGGTGATGATTCGGACTAACGCAATATGAATACTGTAACTTAAATTCTGTATTAGTCCTTAGTTTCATGACGGAAAAAATTCATCATGTGAATTTTAAAAACACAGCGCCACAATAGTCTGGCATTTTCTTCGAGCAATTCGAGATAATAAAATTAAGACGCAAAATTTTTTCGAACTTGTGACTGTATATGGCAACCGTCACGATCTCGAGGTTTAACACTTTATGAAGTAAATAAAATTAGTAAAGCTTGTACATATCGTGCATCGGAAAATAGAAAGTAATCAATATCGCGCGATCCATTACGAGTCGCCTATCAGTCGATCAATTACACAAAGAATTTTATTAACATGCTAGATTTTTTCATTGTTAAAAGCCACTAGATTATAGCTAACTAATCTTTTACTGCCTTTTTAAAACCAATTGTTGGATTCTATATAAGTCGATGATGAAATTATTGCCGCCAACTGTATTAGGAACTGTTACGCTATATCTGGTAGTATTCGGAGTTCCTGCAACAATTGGTGGATTCCAGAAAACGTCCGATACTGGAATACTTACTTGGTAGGCAGGAATGTTCGCATCAGTGCAACCGGTAGGTTGTCTGCTATTATATTGTAAAGTTCCAAAGTCCCACTATCATAGTGCAAAGTTATACTTTAAGCCTCTAATGCTTGATCACAGGAAATACTAACAGTAGATTAATCTTACCTCTTGGACAAATATTCCCGGCATTGTTGGCACTGTTGCACTCACTGCTGGTGGTGCTGGTCTCTGACGTGTCCATAGCTTGGCCTAATATTAAAAAAAACTCTTAGTGATGAAACCGCGGAATAATGAAGCAAGTAGTTAGACATACCGTCATTGACCGATGATGACCTCCTTTCCTTATATCATGAAGTTTGATGCCTAATACACATCGCACATATTGTTCATGCATCCAATTCTCACATTTTTCATCCCAGAGAGCAACGCTCTGAGATAAAGCTACTTCACAGAATATTCGTGCATGAGGGTTTCCCTATGTGAATATATTAATATTAAAAAAATAAATATGATCATTTATACAAATCGATGTACCTTTATATCACTGGGGGGAGGACCAGGATGCGGAGAAGTAGGATTTGGAACATATGCCACATCTGGGTAGATTGCAACGTCTGGTGCTAGTTTTTTTCCGATAACAGTTGGATCATAATGATCTATAGGAAAAATGTTAAATGTTATTACGATCCAAAGGTCAAGCAGAAATTACAGAGAATTCTCTTACATGGTTGACCTTCAACATATATTGGAGGGTCAATGATTACACCTCCATTGGGAACTTTGAAATAGTCTTGAAGCAGTGAGACAACAGCTTCGTGTTCTGGGCTGGCCATATCAACGATGCAAACATTTCCGTTGTCCCAGTGAAATTTGTATCCACTTGATTCGTTGTGATCAAGAAAAGTGTTATAATCTTTCACTGAAACTTTCGACCCAATCTGAAAGGGTAAACTGCGAACCATACAAGTCAACATTGAGCAAAGCTTAGGAAACCTATGTGGGGCACACTTACTTTTCTTCTCCTAAGGATAATTTTGGTAACGTGGGATAGCTATGGACTGTTTTATTAACTTTATGTCCAATTTTCTTTGCTTTCTTTACGACTGATTGCCAAGTATCCATTTTGGAAGAGTAGAAAGTCGAGTACACAATATATAATGATCAGATTAATAAAATAAATTTTTTTACATTTGGCGTAATTAAAAAGTCATGTGTTATGATCGAATCACTTTTGAATTTATTTTTCCCGATCGACGGATATGTCTTACGGATAAATCGTGCTGGCATGAAAGAATAAATCATAGTTCGGGGGTTTTTCTTTGCAAAAACCGTCACGATCAGAGTCATGTGATTTTTAATAAACTTTTGAACATATCCGCATCTTGTATAAACAATGCCAGACACTCAATCAAAAATCGATTCATTGAAAGAATTAAATTCTCAACTCATTGCTACGATTGCTGAGCTTAGAAAGGAGAATGCTGACGTCAAGGCTGAGAATACAAAATTAAAACAGGCTATGGAAGAGAATGCTGAGCTTAAGAGCAGAATCGATGAGTTGGAGAAAAATAGGACAGATAGTAATGCTGAGAATGCTGAACTTAGAGTTAGAGTTGCGAAATTAGAACAGGATTTTGGGCATGTACGAGAAAGTGACGATATTACTATCGAAGAAGCTGTTGTTATACCTGATCCTGTAAAAAACCAGTACATCAATGCCAATTCCAAGACTTTGGAGAATATAGAGACAGATGCTTTCTTGGACTCGGAATATAAGAAAAAGATTAGTAATGAGATAAGGCAATGCAATAAAGAGAAGAAACTTCTGCATGAATCCATGAACGTTACTTCCAACTCATCACATGATATAAAAACCGTTAACATTGTTAACGATCAAGATTCAGCGGAGCTGGCACAGCCAAGATTATCACATAATACAGAAATCATTAACAATATCTCGCAGGAGCAAGTACAGAAAAGTATTACGAATCCCACTGAAGATTTAACCTTAGTAAGCGAATTCGTACAAGGTTTGTTACAGGAATTCTCCTCACCTGGCACACAACTTTGGGAATCTATAGAGTTCTGCAATCTCGCAACTGCATCAGTAAGTCTCCAGAAGCTCGCCCATTTGTTTTATCAAGCGAATACTGCAAGGAAAAATTCGATCAAAGCAAAACGAGAAGAGATTTCTTCTTGGGGTTGCTACTCTGAAAGATACGAGGACAAGGTCATAGAGGTTAGGTCTGAAGATAAGAATCTTACGGATAAGACTGCAAGGAGCCGGATTTATAATGAAATGAGACCATACCTTACAGGCATTTCTGATGGGTATTTACGTGTAATGACTTGTAAAGCAAGAAAAATTAATAAGTTATTTGGATATGAATACGATCCTGTAACTCTGAAAAAGATTAATGGTATAGGATGGCATATGGTTAATCGGGTCACTTGTAGTGCTGACAGCATTTCAAGACTCACTAATCCCCAAATTCGATACATTATAGATTATGTGACTTCAAAAACCGTTAACATTGTTAACGATCAGAGTCATGTGACTTCGAAAACGGGGGATAATCAACCTCATGTAACTTCAAAATCTGAGGTAAGTGTCTCAACTACACCTATTCCTTCGTCACAAATCTTCAATTCTATTAGCTCGAAAAAAATATTAGAATCCAAAGTCAGTATGCCATCCAAATCCCAGGCCTCTGACTCTTCTGGTTCGATAACCAAGATAAGTTTACCACTAATCTCTCAACCCAGAAAGATTAGGCCATACAGTGCTCGCGCTTCCTATATCAACACGATATTGAAAGATCATTCTTACCTATCCTTGCGACATAGTAATCCTCGTAGTGACAGCTATGCATTTGATAGTTTGGGAGCGTGTCCGAAATGTAAGCAAGAGCATAATAAAGGGTTTATAATTGGTATATACATAAATGATTCTTATAACATTAAGTGCCGGTCCTGTTCCCCAGATAGCTTCGTCGGATGTGATTTTTAACTATGATTGCTTTGCAATCGCCTCTAGTAATACATATCTTACTGAATATCAGTACATAGTGGTTATATATTTTTTTCACTCCTCACCCTAATCGACTATAATCACTGGTACAAGTGGTAAATCCTTGAATCTTTTTTCGCGTTATTTATCAGACACATGATTGAGTACATCTATACCGGAAAATTAGCACCTATTTTGGAGAAATGACACTACTAGCTTCGCTAAATCATATGCTTGTACAATGTTTGTAACACACCCGAAATAGATCTCACATGTTCAAAATAGATCCCACATACTCGAAATAGATCTACATATTCGTAATAGGTTTTTTCGTTGCACAGTTGATTTATATACCCAATTAATTATTGTTCATAACCGGATAATATATACACTATATATACATGAGCAATTATACCGATGCTTCAAAGTTGATATGTATTGTTTTTTTCACACTCTAATATACGAAGTGCACTTTTTTTTGAAAATCTACCACATCACAAAAATGACACAAATCATAAATATCGCCACAAACAGATCCTCTAAGATCAACTCTTTGAACTATAATCTCTCTATAACCTAATATGCATATCCCCTATTCTCATCTCACATTTCGCTCACAAAATATAACACCCTTGAAGAAATGGTCTAAGAACCTAATCTACACAAAAAATGAATCTGATTCTACATATCTATAAATAGGTCGGAATTTATTATATTCATCGAATATGGCTGGTTTTAATATTGCAACTATTCTCGATAAAAAAGATAGAACACTACCCAAACCTATTAATGATCGCCCTGGTTTTGATCTCAAGTATGCCGTTTCATATATTGGGAATTATATAGGTTTTGATGGAAAATGATATGTCGAACTCTTTGATAATGAAAAATTATTTGATAACCTCTCTATTATAAAGCAAGATATGACTCCAGTGCAATGGGCAATGCGAGTTAGACTTCCTTTGCAGAATTTGTTGAATGCTGGAAAATTTAGTGTGTATCATCGACTATGTTTGTTCGCATCTTATGGTAAAGGTAAATTTGTTAATTTCGATTACTACAGACCAAAGATTCATAAAAGTCATATGGCTATTTGTTTTGGTTGCTGGAAACTCATAAAAATCGATAATGTGAATCCTAAAAAAATATTCCATTTTACTAGACAGAGGTATGTTGATTGTCTCGAACCTAAAGATCTGATGCAGAAACATTGGGACCACGAATGTAATAAACCAAAGACTGATTTTGGAAAAGCAAGAATTATACAAATAGCTTATCGAAATTATAAGAATAGACCTGAATCATTAGCAACCCAAGCTTGGAATGCAATGAGAAATGATAATATTCCAGATGATAAGAAATTTCTAGGTTTAACTAGTCGTAAAGTGAAAAATCCTCAAACTCGAGATCAATTCAATCAGTGGAAAGCTGAGAAAATTGCTATGTATAAAAAATATAATAGCCCACAAATGCTTAGTTTCTTTCATAATAGTAAATATGAAGAATATTACATTCCATACGATTGGATAGGTAGAAAGAAAAACCAATTACGAGATAGATTTAGTAAGCATCTCCAACAATTAGAAGTGTAATATATTACATCTATTTATTCGATTATAACTATTTTTTCATCTGTATTTCATAATTTTTTGCCTGCAAACTTTTGACGCGCTTCTATTTCTTTCTGTAAATTTAATGGAGTGTCAAATCTTAAACGAATTGCTAATGGATCATCTTCTGGTCTATCTAAATCAAATACAATAAATTCGCCTTTGCGTAAGTAGCTGTTAATAACCATTGATGCATTTTTTATATCATCAGTATATCGACGAATAATTTTAGAGACATCTTCATGCGAGACGTAGAAAAAGAATACAGGGAGCGGATTAGTGCAAATAATAAATTGCGCAATGAGATCAAGGATCTGAAGATGCAGGTACATATAGCGGAAAAAGAGCTGGCATCTATGAAGTCAGATTCTTCTCATTAGTTGGGGCAGTGATGTGCACTTGGAAGATTGGAAGCACTCTTGGAAGATTGGAAGCACAATTTACTAATAAATTCATTGGAATTGGAAGCTTCCAATCAAATTTTTTGCTATTGGAAGCATAAATTGCACATCACTGAGTTGGGGTACTTTTTTTCAAGATCGGGCTACGCGCTACGTACTACATAAATTTTTGTAGTACATAAATTTCTGTAATACAAATTTCTGTAATACAAATTTCTGTAATACCACTCGCATGTGACAATCCAATGAGTCGCAAAAAAAGATCCTTTTGCAGAATAACTTTAACTTTAAAATGGATGAACCAGTGGAAGATGGAGAAAACAACCCTTTCCTCGTCACAAGAACTCAGGTAAAACTATTGTGTATGGTGACGTCGCAGATAATGATGGAGATATTCACCTTTATTTTGCATGACCTGCAGGAAAATAATCAGATGACTGACAAGTACTTTGATTTGAAAAACCCTATGGAGTGGGATATCGTCGGGTTCCACCGTTTTTTTATAGAAAAAAACAAAGATAGACCGGAGAAGCTCGATTACAAGACGGCCGCAGACAAACTCACCAGGAGTTTGCGAGATATTGTGAGCACATCAGCCAATGCTGATACGATAAGGCAGGCATTAAATCTTCAGGAAAAAGCTAAGTGAGTGTAGATTTTTCTTGTACATATGTGATGTTGCAACTGGATAGAAGTTCTCTTAGGCCGTGGTCATATCAACGGTTTAGTTGGTTTGGCTCTCTACAACTACGCGGGAATTCTGCTGATGTACCGTTTATGATCTGTTGATCGTTGTGGACGGCTAGCTTTTAGCAATAAGGGTACTTTAATTGTATTAGCAACTGCGACTACGCGGGAATTCTGCTGATGAACCGCTTATGATCTGTTGATTGTCGTGGCTGGTTGTAGCACTTTATCTATAAAAACTAACAATTACATAGCGAGCACGTCGAAAAGGAGGACCTTTAGATAAGATGTGGGTATCCGTTGAAGTCGAGCTAAAAGAGAAGAAATTAACAGATCTTCAGGTACGCATGAGAAATGTTATTGACATTTTATAATTGAGCTTACATACGAAATTATTTTACTGCAAAATAAGTTACATGGACTACTACAGGCAACGCAGGAGAGTCAAAATTATGCGAGTACGTTAAATCGCGGTGCCTTGAATAGGCTAGAGGACGTCATCGATTCAAATAAGCATAAGAGTGAACCTGTTGACTTGAAGAGAAAAATGACAGAATCCAATGCGCCACAAACGCCACGAAAGAAAGGCCCACATGTCTCATTCTCAGCAATCTCACCGCATAAACCGCTCCTGACAAAGGAGATGATGGCAAAGTATGCGCCTTGTAGTTCTGTCAGCTTATGCAATATCATTAATTGCTTTTTCTCTTTGGTTGCAGTCTTGCGCCAACATTAGTACCAGGGTTGAAATCGCTTATATCAAATCTTGAAGTTCAACACGAAGACATTGCCAAAGAAATAAAGCGTCATTCGTGCGACCAAGTCAAACTAGTCAGCTTGCCGGCATCACTAGTCACATGGCTACGTTTTGTTCTTGCTGTGAGTATTGTAATGCAATGATATTTTGAAGTTATGAACTTAAACTGATAATTCTTTGTAGAGTACTGTAGACGAGTTTGATGAGAAGGTGAATATGCAATTAAAGGATGCTAATGAGTATGAAAATGACTTGCGTATTGTCTTTCGGGGTACATTAATCGACTTGTAAGTATTTAACAACTATTAATGCGGTTGAAAAAGAAAAAACTGACGCGATATAACCATTCAAAGTCATACCATGATCCGCCGTGCAAAAAGTCACACTATTGAAAGGCACGCATCCGAAAGAAAATTTATATTAGAACAGGTTTCTATTCCATTCAAGTATATCGAATATGTATTTGAGCTGGTAACATTTAACTGGTATGTCTTAGTCTCTTAGACTGGAGTTTTTTTTCTTGTTATATTTATTTTCAAATTTGTCTAGGGTGGGGAAAAATATGATGATGACTAAGGCATTGCAATTTGTCGAAGATCCGGACAAGAAAACGACGACTTACAAAGTAGATGCATTGGCTATTGTTAAGGAGAATCGTAGACAATCGAGGTATCTGGCGGACCAATTGAGCAGGATCGTCCCCATACACTGGGAGATACCAAGAAGACATTGCTGGAAGGATGTGAGATGCTTCAAGGTACACTACAACAATATCTTGATGCGTCTCTTGACGCGGCTAAAAAACTAAAATTTTATACAATGCAAGTAATAGGTATGTTTCAATAACTTTAGAGAGATAAGGATTCGCCTATAACGCCATTAATGTCATTTATTTCTTTTCTTTGCAGTTGACCGGATTGTCCTAGTCGAAATTTCTGTGCATGAATCTGGCTTTAAAGCCGTAGAAGTATGAAGTGCACGGTGGCCATTTTCGTGGAACTCGGTGGCAGAATACATGCATATATTTGAGTTAATTGCTTATTTTATGGTAAGCATCTATAATATTTATAAATGACCACAATAATAATGACAGAAAAATATTTACACATGTATTATTTGCTTAGAAAAATCTTCGCGATCAGGAGAAAGTAATTAACGTGATGGCCAGTGAGCATCGCGGTATAATTGAGGTTAAGTCTATCACAGTTCGCCAGTGGCTAAAAAGTGTACAAGATACTTTGAACAATAATTCTGCGATTTAATTTTACGAAATGAGGATTTATTTACTGCTTCGACAAATCAATGAATAATCAAATGTAACGTAATGATAATATAATCTCTTTTACATGTTTATATAGTGTGTACTGAAAAATAAAACTATAACGATTATAAGAATTTTTTTTATTTATGTATCTAACAAAACAAGGTCGGGATAAATACTTAGATTTTATAATTATACGAAAAAAATAATACACCCGCTACAAAAGAAAAGCAACTCACATGAATGAATGTAACCTACTGTTAAAACAGTAAAACCTATTACATAAACAATACACGTAATGATCATAAAGCATTTAAAGTTTCGAGTTTACTCAATGAGACCCAATTCACTAAGATGCCCTGGAATAACTACATATGGGTCTTCGTAATACCAAACATACCTTAGGGCAATACAGTTTTCTTCGCATAATTCTTTCTTGAGTTGATCCCGTGCTTGCTGTTTGATAAAATTATTGGGATCGCCATTATGGAAGAATTTGATATATTTTTCGTGTTGTACGCCTTGTACTTCGATTGCAAAGCCATATTCTGGGTAATAAATATCAAGTTCTAATCCTATGGGACATTCTGGTGTTTTGAGAAAATTAGGTTTGCGGATTAGTGAAGGAGGGCCAAGATACTTTGTTAAAATCTCGTGACATAGCTTTTCTCTTTTATATTTCGGGCAGAATGGGCACCACGAGTTTAAATGTTTAACGTTATCAAAAGTAGCAAACCATTTATGCTTTTTATCACACATCCATAATAAAGCTGAACGATTATTAATATAATATTCAGAAAGACAAGCTCCCTTTCTATTATAAGCCAATTGTTTGGCATTTTCAAGTGTACAAGGTCTATTATTTGCGCAATATGGACACCACGTCTTGTTATTTTTCACATTGTTAAAAGATGCATTCCATTCATGCCCTTCAGAACAACGCCATGATAAAGGTGAAAAACTATTATCATACGTTTTGGAAAGGCATTCTCCATTCTTACTAAAAGCAACTTGCTTAGCATCTTCAATTGTATGACTGGCCTTATTTGCACAATACGGACACCATGTCTTACCATTCTTGATATTGTTAAGAGATGTAGTCCACTCATGACCATTTGCACATCGCCATCGCATTGGAATGTTAGCATTAACATATTCAGTAGAAAGACAAAGCCCACCACGTTTTCCAGCAATTGCACAAGCATCATTTATTGTCAACTTTCTCATTGCAAATAGGTGATTCTTCATCAAAAAAATCAAAACTTTAATTTCAGGAGTAATAAATCTTTATGATCCTTTTTTTCGCTTCTCTCGTAACTCTACCTCTTTTTGAAGGTCTAATGGAGTATCAAATCTCAACCGAATTGCCAGTGGATCATCATCTGATTTATTTAGATCAAAGACAATAAATTCACCTTTTCGAAGGTAACTATTAACAACCATAGAGGTATTTTTCACATCTTCAGTATATCGTCCAATGACCTTGGAAATATCTTGATGGGAACTACCACCATTAAAGACTACTAGATGTGAAATATTTTCACGGATAATTATTGGTGTATGATGATAACGTTGTGTTACATATATGCTTGAAATGTTTCTATGACGCCCATGTGTGAAAAATTGACCAATTCGATTTTGTATATGTTCTGAAGCGAGACACAAATCCTCAAAAACAATCGCTGTACTTCGTTCAGGTGAAAATGCATTTACACTAGGGATTTTTTCTGGTGATATATAGATAAACCGTATATTCTCATAATAAGGTGCTTTTGGATCTTTTGAAATTATACCATACATATACCTTACAAATGCCCACTTTGGTTCGTCAGGATGGTATCCACAAACTATTAAATCATCACAAGAAATATATCTCCTACCACCTTTTTTTCCTTTATATATGTATTCAGCTTTATCACCAAGAAAAAGATTTGCCAAAATATTGGTCTTACCTGATCCACTTTTCCCTGTAACTATCATTTTGAAGAGCCATGTTGGACTAGCAGGATGGGATTGACAACGAGATGCAATTTGTTTATTAGCTTCGTCCATATCCATAAGGTAAAGTTTCATAGGAGGTATTTTTGAATTTTTTTGCATGACGGATTGGGAATCCATAACTCTGTTTTCTATAGACTGGATAAAAATTTTCTTCCTTTTTGGTTGGACGAAAAATTTGCCTGTATATATATCATATAATTAATAATATTATCAAGGCAAAAATAACAAACTTAATAGAAGTAGTTTGATACTTATCATTAACCATGCTAGCACCTAATGCTATAATAGGTAATTCCTCACTCCTTCCTATTGTAATATTATGAGATTTAATCAGAGTCACATTCTTTATTTCTTGAAATTGGTTTTCTGTGTCGATAGGTTGTAATATATTATCTTTATTATCCTCACTATTTTTGTTGATAATGGTTTCATCACTTACCTTAGAAATAATCTCAGTATCGATTTTTGAAGATTCTAATATTGGAACAATTTTATCATGCCTCTTTGAGACGCCTAAAGGCCTGGTATGAGTTGGTATATCAGTGCTAATTTTTTTGACTTCATCCATAATTTTTCTGCCTGCAAAATATTGACTGAGATTTTTGCTAGGTGAGGCATAGCCTCGAATCTCTGATTTCTCACTAGACACGTAAGTGTCATGATTCAGAGAAGAGACAGAGTCTCGAATTTCTGATTCATCACCCAATGGCCTGCTTTGCAATACTGCAGAGATATTATTAGACTTTGATATATTTTTTATTGTGGGAACAATGAGGCTCTGCTCCTCGCTATCTCCACCAACCACAGGTATCGAAATATTCTCTGATTTTAGACGCTCAAGTTCACTAACCTTCGAAGCCAATTCACTCTTTATATTCACCAATTCAGTCTTGAGAGACCAGATCTCAAAATCTTTTTTTGATGATTCTTTCTGGATCGAAATTGCATCATCCTGGGCTGATATTAACCTTCCTTCCAATATCTCATTCATATCTTGAAGTGATTTTATTTCATCCAATTGAGTGGTATACTTAGCTATATACTCGGCATGAGAAATCTGTAATTGGTTGATCTGAGAAGTTAAATTATTTAATTTCGAGTTTAATCACTTAATCTCATCTATAAGTTGGTAGACGTACTTGGTAAGTTTCTCTTTATCTTTACTAGTTTGATTTATATCACGTTGCAAATGCACCTTATTCTGTTTGATATTTTTAATATACTTTTTATACACCTTCTGATAGTTCTTAAAATCATCAATAAGTTTAGAATTGAACTTACAACTATCACGTAAAGCTTCTTCAAGTTCCACCTCCCTAGTACTTCCAAGATGATGTCCTTTTGAGTTAATATCTCGCAATGTACATATATTAGCCATGTATTTTTCGGCTTAGCTATATTTAATAAAAATAACATATTACGGATATTATCAATAATAATATATTATATATATTACAGATATTATCAATATTATCAATATTACTGGTATTATCAATAATATTATTATCAGTATTTTTTTTTTATCAATATTACTGTTACTATTAACAAGACCATGTGATCTGATGCAGTTAAACTATCACCAGATGACTATAAATATATTATGCAATACAAAGATGCAAAATCCAAACCTTTAGAAATGCTTAGAGATAAATATTCTATGTCCAATACCCATTTTTATCGAATATGGAAAGGAAAAGAGGTTTGCACAAATGTTTGGAATCCATATTTAGCTAATTCGGAAAGTAATATTTCAATACCTATAGTTGTGGAAGAGACAAAAAAGAGAAAATCTGAGTCTGCGTGTATTTCTGATCAACACTCTGTTAGTAAAGATTTAACTGAAAAGATAGACAAAATATCAGAAGCAAAAAAAGAAACTATACCACCTGAAGCCTCACAAAAAACTAAAGATCCTTTAGAATTCTATAAGAGAACACAAGAGGAGGCTAAAAAGATAAGAGCTGTTGTACGTGCTGATATTTCTAAACTATCTGCTCCTATTTCAAAAGCTTAGAATTAATATGACTAATTTTTGCTTTATATTAATATTGATCACGCAAATTATTATAATATCCAATAAATTCTGAATTAGTTTGGACACTAGTAAATAGTGCTTTTTCAAGTTCCTTTACACGGATAGTTATACTTTCACAATTTATGCATTTTTTTTTTAACTTTGACTGATCAAAACCTTTAGGAGCATGTCATTCCTCTAATGGTTCTAATGCCTCTGTATCTTGAGTGGTATCCCGTATTACTATAGTACAACAGCTTGATATCTTACTTGAAGGTTGCTTCTCGTTAATATTTTCATTTGGTTTAATAAAAGTTGGGATAATATAAGATTTTCCACAAACTGTCATTCGGAATTCATGTTTATCCGAATCTGGAATTCCTTTAACTTTTCGGATAAATGGCATTCCTAAACAAAGAAGATAATCTGTTTCTTTATCGTCAATAACTACAATATTTACTATTACTATAAGCCACCCATTCTTATGTTTTATAGATATTGCAACATCTTTATGTCCTCCTATTAATTTGGTTATGTGATCTGAATTATGAGTAAGAATAAAATTTGGTGCAATTCCAAGATCCCACCCTAATGCATTATTTAATGCTTTGTTCATAAGAACACATTCGGATGCAGTATCTGAAAATGTCTCTGGAATATCTATATCTTCTATTTTACATTGCATATATTCAAGAGATTCAACCCATTTATTTTTTGTTAATGGATTGATAATTTTTTCTCGTAATGCTAGAGATAATAATTGAAATAATTGGTCATCTGATTCTGGAAAAAGTTTATTGCGAAGCAATGGGGTTTCACCCCTAGGTTCTTTACTCAAAGATTTACGTGAGCCAGCCTCTGGTTGTGATGTCTTATCTATTAGTGATAATATCCGTTTTTTTTTCATTCGAAGATTGGTTCACGTTAGAATTATTGTCATACCATATATTATCTTCTTCATTATATTCACCATCATTACCTTCCTCATTAGCTAAAACACTAGAATTTATTGGTTGAAAGGAATAATATCGTTGTGTTCGATTTAATTTGGCTACTGTTTTTTTGGATTGATTTTCAAGTACCATTTTTCCAAATTGAAATGTTATTTGTTCAATTTCATCTACTTTTGATTCTATTCTATCCATTCTAGCAGATTGGTTTGTTTTTTGAAAAGGTTTTTTAGGATAATGTGAATCTAAATCTTCATTACTATATATACCTAAATCATTTAAGTATTTTGCTACATAATAATTTTTATAATCTTCTTCTGTTTTTAAATTTGATGGGGGACCTCTTGGCTGTCTAACCGGTTCAACGGTTTGTGGAACTGGTGTCTGTGTTTTCTGTGCTTTTGATGATTGAACTTCCTTTCTCAATTTTTCTATCTCAGCATCATAATTGAATTTTTGTTTCGCTAATACCTCATCAATCATTTTTGTATATCAGGTATAGGAAATACTGATTGCGGAATTATAGGAGCTTCTATTATTTTGGTGTTATAGGAAGATTGTTGAGAAACTTGACCATTCAAATTTGGTGCGCGCTCCAGCCACATGTTTTTTAGTTCAGTGAAAAATGCATTAATGCCTGCTGGATTAGCAATTCTCATCCAAGTATAAAAATCACCTGTCAAATGGCTTTTTAGGAATCCTAAAACTTGTGCATCATTGTCTGCTACTCCTAATAATAATGGTCGAATTCTAGCTTTATAGGTATCTGAAGTATCATAGGGCTGATATTTTTCCTGAGTCAATCTCTGAATAGCTGATTGTTGATTTCCAACGGTTTCTCACTGGTATTTTGCTCTTAACCAACCTCGTAATGTATCTGGAGAATTTATAGCCAGATTTTCCGCTACAAGATTATTATTTACTGATACTGGAGCATATTTTCCACCCATCATAGATTTTAAAATATTACACTTGACTGCATCGTTAAAATTCCCTGCATTTGCATTCTCAAGAACTAACATATGTCCTTCAAGATATTGTTACAAGTTTGTTCACTAATCGTTAAATTAGTGTTACCATTTCATCAAAAAAATTCGTAATTGCTTAATTATTGATCAACAAAAATTAAGATGTATTACAAAGAACATTAAATGTTACATCATGTAACTCAATGATGATC